CAAAAGTAGTGACAGTAGCGGCACTGTTACTACTGACTGAGTCCTCACAACCGCTCAGTTTTCTGTTTATTTACATGTTATAACTCTGAGGGTAACAGTATTACAAACTGGGGAGTCTGAATTCAGTTTGAAAGGCTGGAAAATATGGACCAGAGAGATGGCATTGTAAAGCTCTGGCCACGCAAACATGAAGACCCTAGTTTGGTTCCTAGCATGCACATAAAAGAGATTAAAAAAAAAATTCCCCAGGTCTTGCTGCCTTGGGAGCACAGCCTACACGGCAAACCTTGGCTCTCAGTGAGAGACCCTGTGACTCAAAATAAGGTAGATGGCTCCTGAGGAAAGGCACCCAAGGATGACCTTTAGCCTTTGCGTGTACACGTTCACACATGTACAGAGACATGCTCATATACATACAACCCCCTTCAAAAAGACTAGAAAAAGAAGAGTCAAAATTTGTGGTGACTTGAGGAACAACTAGAGTAATCTTGCATTTTGACTGTTACTAGATGTGCAAACAACCATAATTGATTCATTTCATTTAGAGTGTGGCTATGATTCATTTCTGGGAAATTTGTCAGTAAATTGGCTAGCAAACATTTGAAGACACAATTATCTAATTTCCATGCGTTCTAGTCATAAGAGCTGGCTGAGCCTGTATTTCTGCCAAACTGTACTATGATGGACTGCTTAATATTTTACACATGCTAATTAATCAAATGCCAAGTAGCACTGGGTTCTTGCTATTGCCTCTACTTTAGAAGATATTCCTGTATACTGTTCATCTTCTCCACATAATAACCACATGACCCAGGTGCCATTGTTCTGTTTTGCTAATGAGAAAACCGAGACTATGTAGAAAAGGCAGGTAGTGGCATTGCTGCAACTCTGAATGAAGTTGCCCAACTAGGCACAGGTATCTTGATGCTCTTTGCCAGAGAAGTGAGACTGGGGCAGGCTTCCTCATTTCCTAATCCTAATTTCTCAGGTAGAGTGCTTTTTTGACGATCCATACAAAAGTACAAAAGTACAGCGTGAACTCAGCCACGGTACGTTTGTGTTTCTGTGCTTGTCACAGCGGTGTTTAGAGGGTGGATGTCCCACAGTGTGGTAGTGATCTGTGAAGACTATGAAAGATGCTCACTGCTGGCTTTGTTCATGCTTGACTGCTCTAGCAGGACTGAGACATGAACGGGACTCTCCTGTTTCCTCTATGCAGCTGGCATGTGAAAGAAATCCAACCTGAATCAGATGGCCCTCATGTCCATTGCAGACTTGCTTAAAGAAAAAAAAATTGAGTCCAGTTAATCCAGACTAGCTAGGAATGGAATGAGAGAGGGGTGGTGGCTGCCATTAGCCAGAGAGACAATGGTCTATAAATAAAAACTGCCCTTTAACTGTGTCTCGCTCCTTCCCATTGTCATGCCCAAATACAAAGCCTTGTGACTCTCTCCACTTAGGTCTGTGTGTTTTGGAATTAGATGAGACATTAGAGAAAACAGTTGTAAATATACTGGAGGGAAGGTCATAATTAGGAAGCTTTTCCTAGAGTGTCAGCCTACACATCAGACTCACATTACAGAGCAGCCTTGAATGACAACCTCTGGAATTAGAACCATTGATGTAAATCCTACTGTCCCATCGACTAGCCATGTGGCATGCTACTGGGGCTTAAATATTTTATCTCCTTTTCTCACATCTATAACACAGGAACAATAATATATATTTTATAAGTTTTTTATAGGTTGAACAAGATGAGGTGTGTGTGTGTGTGTGTGTGTGTGTGTGTGTGTGTGTGTGTACTTAGTGTCCGGAGCAGGAAAGGGATAAAATATCTTATTTAGTACATATTAATAGGGCAATATTTTATTATATATACAGTTGTAGAGATTCTTCTCATGTAAATAAGAATTTTTACTGTGTAATTCTCAGGAGGTCAGCATTCATTCATAATTCTCGAAACTGTCTACAGTCATTAGGTCTATATAGCCTCCCATCTTCAGATGTAAAATGGAGAAAAATAATTTAAAAGATGTAAAGTACAGACAGAAAACTTGCTACAGAGAACAGTCCTAGCAAGGAATAATTGTTGGTCAAAGGTGACATGAAAAGAAAAAGAACAAAACAGATAAGCATTCTGAAAAAAAAAATGAGGAAAGAAACTTTAATGTCCTCAGTTAGCATTCTCTAGGTCTGTGTCTCCTGGTTTTCCAGATTTTTAGGAGCTCCGGGGTTTCAGTATTTGAACTGGAGTTGCTGCTTCTGTGTGCATCAGAAGGTGGGGGACAAGATGCAGGCCTTTATCTCTTTAAGAGCAATAAGCTGAACATGGACTCTATGTCAGAGGGCATCTAGAACACCTACCACTCTTCTGTTGTTACACTGTGATGTTAAATAAAGGCAATACAGCAGAGCTTCTTTTGGCTTTTCTTTCATTAAGAATTGTTTAGGACAGACACATAAACTCCGAATAAGCAGATGAATGAATGAATGAATGAATGAATGAATGAATGAATGAATGAGTATCATTGAGTGTCTGGAGAGGTGACTCAGCAATTAAGAGCAATGGATGTTTTTCAAGAGGACCACGGGTTAGTCCTGGCACCCACATGGTGATTTACAACCATTTGTAACTCCAGTTCCAGGATATCAGCTGCCTTCTTCTGACCTCCATGGGCATTGCACCCACGTGGCACACAGACATACATGTAGGCAAAACACATAAACAGCCAAGTAAGTAAATAAACATCCTTAAAACATTAATGAAAGATAGCGCAAAAAAATAATTTTACTCATTTATTCCAGCTATTTCACAGCAGGTTTGCTTCCTGATGTCTCTTGAAAACTTTGCTTTCTTTGAGCAAAGTTTATTTTAAGCCAAGAATTCAAAATGTGTCGATTCCAAGTGAATTCACTATGTGTAAATCAGCATGGGCTACTATTATAAAATCCCATAGACCAGATGGTTTATAAACAACAAAGCTGTATTTCTCCCAATAAGGGAGGCTGAGCATCTAAGATCATCATTAGGCCAGCTTGGATGGACTCTAATGAGGTCTGTATTCCGGGCAGCAGGCAGCTGCCTTATACAGGGCTACTCATCTCTTGATCTTTTCACATAAGGTGTTCAAGCCATTCATGAGGACTCCACCGAATGAGCATTTCAGTGTACTGAAAACACCCGTCTCACTGAGACACTGTCCTTCATCATTATTATCGACTTCCTTTTTTTTTCTTAATAGAAACATTTTGTTTATTTTTTAATAATGTATTCACTTTATGTTCCAATTGTAGTCCCCTCCCTCATCTACTCCTGGTCCCACCATCCCTCTCTCTTCCCCTCTATTCCCCTCCCCTAGTCTTCAAAAAGTTGCCTTTTCCCCTGGCAACTGACCTCAGCCTGTCAAGTCTCACCAAGGCTGTCTGCATCCCCTTCCTCCATATCCCGGCAAGGTCACCCTGCTAGGGGGAAGTGACTGAAGAGCAGGCAACAGAATCCATGTCAGACAGCCTCTGGTTCCTTACTGGGAGGCCTACATGGAGACTGAGATGCCTATGGGCCATATCTGAGAAGGGGGCCTGGGTCTTCTCCATGCATGGTCCTTGATTGGTGCATCAGTCTCTGCAGGTCCCCTGGTCCCAGATTTGTTGGCTCTGTTGGTCTTCTTGTGGAGCTTCTGTACCCTTCAGGTCCTTCTGTCCCCTCACTCTCCCATAAGACTCCCTGTGCTCTGCCCAAAATCTGGCTGTAAGGCTCAGCATCTGTTTCCATCCCTTGCTGGGTGGAGCCTTTCAGAAGACATCTATGGCAGGCTTCCATCCTGTTCTCTCTCTTCAACTGCTTCCAGTGTCTATTCTGTTTGCCCTTCTGAATGAGAATTAAGCAAGCTCCCTAAGGTCTTCTTTGTTACTTAGCTTCTTTAGGTCTGTGGATTGCAGTGTGGTTTTCATGTATTATATGGCTAATATCCACTAATAAGTAAGTATATACCATGCATGTCGTTCTGGGTCTGGGTTACCTCACTCAGCATGGTCTTATCCAGATCCATCCACTTGCCTGCAAATTTCATGATGGCCTTGTTTTTGATAGCTGAATAGTATTTTGTTGTATAGATGTGCCACAGTTTCTTTATCCATTCTTCGGGTAAGGGACCTCTGGGTTGTTTCCAGTTTTGCCACCACACCCGGCTGTGTGACTTCCTGTCTTAGTGTGCTGTTGGCAGGCAATGTTAGGCTGTGCACACAGCATAGCATCATTTACATGTGAGCATATCCGGGCCTTAGAAGACTTGTTAGAGCGAAGAGGGGAAGAGGTGTACAATACTTTAAGGAGGAGATAAACTGATGCTGCAGGAAGCAAGACCACTGTCAGTAGAAAGGATCTACTTTCCAGAGGTCCTCCCCTAAAGCCACTAGTGTTGGGCTTAGGAATTCAACTTGTGACCTTGGAAAAGAAGATGAATATTCAGTACAAGCATCCTCCAAAGTTTATACTGTGAATTTGAGACAGGCCCACGGCATTGTAACGGTGTTGTCAATCAAGATCTATTTACTCAATCGGAGTCTCTCTAAAGTTATGTCCACCTTAGAATGAAATGAGAGGTTGGTTGGGGGTTTAGTGATCTTCCTAGCCTTCTGAAGCTGATGACCAGACATCAAGCAGTAGTGTAATATGATGATGAAAAACGAGTAAGGTCTGTACTTGCTGTTCTGCAGAAATAATTGTCTTAGGCAGAGAGACAGCACTAGATTCTCCCTTCCAAATTTATTGTTAGTGATCAGTATCTCACTTAAGGCCTTTATCTAATGGTTTTACTCATTTCTACTAAAAATCAGCTTAATTTCCTCTAAATAATGATTTCAGTATGATACACACCATGCTAATTTCACGGGAAGGTTTTTTTTTTCTTTCTAGATTTGGGTATTCTAAACACCAAACGTGTTTCTTTGTGTGCCCTGTGGGCTTTGTCTCTGTCTTATTTCTTTATTTTTCATTTCAGGGAATCCCAGGACTCCCTGGTAGCATTGGCTCACCTGGCTACCCTGGCAGGCAGGTGCAGTGGCTGCATTTACACTTCCTTGTTCATGTTCCTCTTCACGTATACATTGCATGTTCTGATGCTGAGAGGCATTGTGCAAATGATGGCTATGTTAGCTCTCCTTCACGGTGAATTACTGACACAAACAATCAAAATCAAAGTTGTAAAGATTCTCCAAGTGTTGTATGCCTACTGGTTTGTCTGGTGTGGAAGTCTGACTTTTAAATGCATTTGGTATGTTTTACGGTGGAATTTTTAAAGTTATGATGCCTAAGAGGCAAATAAAATCTTAAATGAGTTCCATGGTAACTTGACTAAAATGAAATAAGTGTGGGAGTCTCTTCAAAATAAGTGTCATTTTTAATAACACATTTGTAAAAACCTGGGAAACAATTGGCGGTGACTCACATCCACTATGAAACACTTTCATCTGACCTGAACTTAGTTCGTTGTGTAGTTTTGAAAATCTGTTTCCAACATTTTGTACATGTTCCCCACCAATTTCCTTCCTAACTTCACATAAATTAGTAATAGAGCAGGTTTCCTTCATAGACTTTCTATGACATGATTGTTTCTAAAAACAACTAAACATTGAACTGTAGATTTATGTCCTTATCTTCAAAGAAAGGGGCAAATAACAACATAAGAATTAATCTATTGTTAACAAAATTGCAATTTAGGCACTTAAAGTTATCAAAAGGTACTGTATGTTGTACTGGAATTATCTGGTAAGGGAGTATCTAATGAGGAAAACAAAATATGAACACATACATATGGACAGTAATTTAAAGTTTAAACATACTCATCTCTTAAAAACCTACCAAAATAGATTTAAGAGTAAGTTAGTGTCTTAACAAAACACAGATAATTTCCCAATGAAAAATAATGTAGAGGAAAACAGTTTGTTGTTCCTGACAGCGCCTGCTAATGTACTTTATTTAGACAACTTAAATATATTTATATATTCATTATATATTTGTATTCATGTATGAATATATAAAAGGCATATATATATATATATATATATATGTATGTATGTATATATATGACTTTTGGGTTCTGAAATTCAAAAAAACCTTTGAGCATTTGTAACTGCTCTAGGTAAACTGAGCTCTGAATTTTATAATCTTAGAAATGATGCCTTTTATAGTTTTATCAATCTATTTGTGAGCTCCTCAAACATGCTGTACTATCCTGACAGCATCTCTTGTTCACACCAGGGGTTAGCCGGACCAGAAGGTAACCCAGGCCCTAAAGGAGTCCGAGTAAGTAAGCGTTTTTCATCAGTTTGTTAAATATGCCTGCAAAATGTAGAATGAAAAGATACAAAGTTCTTACCATTTTCACACTTCTAAGGGGTTTTGAGTTCTATGCAAATTTAGTTTGAAGGGAACGCATTTGCCATTTTCCCCTAGGTAAATGCCTCAAAACATCAGTCTTGAGGCAGTGTTTGCATCATTATTATCCACTTCCTGCCCTTAACTTGCTTTTGGGGGCCAATGTTAGGCTTCACTGTGCACACAGTGTAGCATCATTCACATATGAGCACAACTCCGAGCCGTAGAAGACTTGTTGGAGAGGCAAAGAGATGTGCAGTACTTTGAGGTGGAGAGAAATTGATGGTGCAGGAAGCATCATCGCTGCCGGAAGTAAGGAAAGGTCTGTGAAGACGGAAGTCAGTTTCACATCGGGGGCATCCCTTTATGTTTCTAAAGACTTAAAGGAAAATGTGAGCCCTCTTTGCTCAGTAGCTGGAAAAGGGAAAATACGGCAGCTGGAGTGTGCTACACGTTACAACCCCATTGCTGTAATTGCTGGGTTTGGTGCGTACATTCTGCAGCCTCTGCCTCCTGAGATTTACGTGCCGGGCATCTCCCCCTCCTTGAAACGCAAGCTTCCCTGTGCTTCTTACAATCGACCTAACTATATTCACAGCCTAAGCGCTCCAGCTGCTGCCACGCCTCAACTCATACTCTCTACTCTTCTGTGTCAATGAAAAGACTCATGTGTAATGTTTTCACAAAAAGCAGTAACACGAGGAGTTATTGCTCATATTTATACATCTTTAAATTTAATATTAAAGATACAGAACATTTCATGTATATCTACTTAGACTTTTATGGGGCAAACAGTGAAATGAAATAATGTAAAGATTATCTTCTTGCTTCAAGGGTTTCATTGGCTCTCCTGGAGAGGCAGGACAGCCGGGACCTGAAGGAGAAAGGGTGAGGTTTTTTTCCTTCAAATATTACTTCTAAAGTGTTTTCCTTGTGATCCCATGGGGATCACAAACTCATGCCTTGAGGAAAATTCTTATTGAGTGAGCGAGTAAGCCTTGTCTAAGAGAAATCACCTGCTAGGAATAGCATTAGACTTCTATAAATCCTAATGAAGTTTTGTAAGAAACATGACATGAACATAGATGGTTAGAGATGTTTAAATTCAATTTTAAAAATACATGTTAAACTATGAAAACAGGGCTGTGTGCAACCATGCCTCGTCCTGATGAATTTCTTCCTCTCTGGGGATGATAAATGCCTGTAAGTCGAGGTTATCATGCTAAGTAAGGTCTTTAGCTATCAATTAATAGATACACAAGCTGAAAATGAATTGAAATGTGAAAATTTTAAGAACAATGATGGGAATACTACATGGTTTGCCAAATAGGTACACACACACTCACACTATGGCATGCTGACCCACTCATTTATTTTACACACACACACACACACACACACACACACACACACACACACACAAATACTCACACTCACTCATTACTGTACAAACACTTCATATACATTAATTCCTGTCATGCCCACAAAGTGTCTCATTATTGACTGGGAGGGTGGGGCATATACACAGAAAACAAGCCACCCTTGACCATATGCGTGAAGAGAGAGAGCTTAGAACATGCCACCACTGTCCCGGGTGCGCAGCCTGGTGGTCCGCTGTTACGCTCTACTGCTTCTTACCTGACCAGAAACCTGAAGAAAGGCTGGTGGCCTCTTTCTGAAAGATGATCTGGAGTGGCAAGAGAACCCTCCTCTGTGCCTCGCTTTACTGTCATTGGTTTCACATGACACTGGAAGCTGGTACTGCAAGAATTTGATTAACTCTGTTTTTCTCCAAACAGAGAAAGAAAGGGAGACATGCATCCTGTTTTAGCTGTAGAGAACAAGCAGTTACTGCTGGCTTGTTACTCCTCAAAAATAACCATTATTACCAGTGAAGGGAAAGACCCCATTTGAAAGACTGAATGATATCAAGAATCTCTTTTTGGAGAAAGACTTGAATATCTTGTTAAGTGAATATATTGACTTAAGTGAATATGTTGAAATACTTTTGAACATTGTGCTCATTTCTATTTTACTAATTGATATTCAAGAAAAAGACCTATCCAATGTGTTCATTCAGCAAAAACTTACCTTTTTCCCCTGTATTCTAGGGCTCTCCTGGGATCCATGGGAAGAAGGGTCTGAAGGGAAGACAGGTAACTTGATTCTTCCTCCTTGAGGTCTGGTGGACTAGAGGGATCTGATCTTGCTTGTTCCTCCCTTCTTAGAATGTTCACAGGTGTCTACCCATATGTTTGTTGTCACCTGTTGATTTGTGTCTCGTTAGCACTGTACCAAACAATACCTGATAGAGTAAAGGAATGTAGGTGTAAAGCTGACTCTAAACGCAATTCTTCTTGCTGTAGCTGAGAAATACATTGTTGACTCCTGGGTGAGGATGAACAGTGCCAGATCATACGGGAACAGCTTAGAATATAGATGGATACAGCTTTGGCCTGTCCTTGATGAAGAGACATCTTAAGTTCCACAGAGAGGTGTCCAAAGGTGTCCAACGCAGTGTTGTCATCTGACAAATTCACCCTGGAGAGCCACAGAAGTAACAAAAAACATTGCAAAAAAAAAAAATCCGTAACATTCCAAGGAAGCTCTTAATTTTGTATTAGGCTGTATTGATGGAATATAATCATGGACCACTGGTAGATTACTCCTATGAAACTTGTTTCGTGCATTTCTTATATTTTTAGATTAAAGAAAATACATAGTGTGAATTTAACTAGATAATATTAATAATTTCATAGATGGGAGAATAATTTGATACTCAGTTCTTAATAATGAAGAAACTAGTCCAGAGAACTACTCTGGCTGAGCTAACAGATAGATACCTTTTTTCTATTTATGGTATTTTCTTGACCACTCCAAGATGACTTTTATCATGACAGTCTTACTGTACTGTGGCTGGGAATGGGAAAGGAATCTTTTATAATAGTTTGGACTGAATTTTTGGTATTTATGAATACTTTCTCAATGCCAGCAAAAATGGGATCTATGTATCTTGCAAATGTAACTTTTTAGGCTCTAAGTCTGTTACAAGTACATATATTAAAGCAGCAGAATTCTGTAAATTTTGCAATATAAAGAATAGTCAAAGATCCAAATAATTACTTCATTTACTGTTTACCACTGCTTTCTTGAGCTTTCCTTTTAAATTCAATATTTTCCTTTTGGACATTTCTTTTAATCCTATGATTAAAAAGCCAAAGTTATCTGTAACATTTAAATTATTTGAAACATTCAGTCTTCTGAGCTTTATAATATTTATTGAAAGTGGCTCAAGATAGATTCTAATGTCATTACATTAGAAAACAGGAGGTCTGAGATATTGAAGCATAGCTAAAAGCAGTAAAATTAAGATTCAAATACAGATGCAGTTATTATAAATCTAACAATCCTGCATTTCCTCTTGTACTCCAACTACTTAGAAAGAAGTGTCATTTTTTTTTCATGATATTTGGCCAAAATGTAATTGCTGTTTGAATTTTTCACTACGAAGACTTCAGATTATTGCATCAAGAGATGCAAAAGAAACCCCAATTCTAGCTTTCCTGCATCTGTAATGAACTTCAAAACTCATTTCTTCACAGCCAGAACAGGAACAAACAGCACCCCTGCCATCATCATGTGAGGAATATGGGCAGCATTTTAAGCACTCTGTGTGCTGTGTTTTCAGTTACACTCTATCACATGAATAGGTTCCATACTCTTTGCATTTTAGCCCTTATCCACACATCCCAACAGAGCCCATGGGGCTGTTCAAATTGACAGTAGGTCAGCCTCATCGTCTTTAGTCTCTTCTGCTCCAGTCTATGGGTGTTAGTTTTTCCATCTTATTGCTATCAAAAATTTGTTGTTACTAACCCCCCCAAAAATCATTTATGTAATATATAGCCTCCCATGCTTGAAAAAGTACATTATCTATTAATAATTACTTTAGGAGTTCAAAACCTTGAGATAAGCCAGCAGGCAGTGGTTGGGACTGGTGAACAAATCAAGCATTTTCTCAAAGTCCTATTATTATACGACTTGGATAATCACTAATTTGACTGATTGATATACTTTGTTTTATATGGATATTGACTCAACCTTGGCATCAGCCACATACAGGAAGGCTGTACTTTCCTACTTAATAATGGTACATTTTCTCCAGGGGAAATTATAGACAACTTTTGTTTTCTTACTCCTTAGAGAATCGTATAATTATATGATGGATTCTGTTGACTTCACAATGATAGCTAGTGAGGGCTGGAGAGACGGCTCAGTGGTTAGAAGCACTAGCTGCTCTTCCAGAGGACTTACTTTTAATTCCCAGCCCCCACATGGAAGTTCACACTCATCTGTAATTCCATCCCAGGGGCTCTTCTGGCTTTCAAGGGCCCAGTGAGCAAGTGATGAACAGACATACATGCATACAAAAGTCCCATACATGGTAAATAAAAACAGACAGTTGTAAATGCAGAGTTAAAGAAAGTGTAGAAAGATGAAAAATACAGTGTTTTCTGGGACCTTTGATTCTACTATTCTTTGCTTTGTTAAACTGGCAAAAGCTTATGGCTTCAAAATATATGCATTTGTGCAAGATTGCGATTCTGAAAATTGTATCTGAAAACACATGAATCCAGTTGTTTACTAACTATTGTTTTTGGTAAAAAATTGTATGGTACTGTAACATGTCATGTTTGTTATGTGTATTCTTTCTTATTTTTTCCACAAAGTGGCTTGGCAATTTGTAGAAGTCCACGTAGTTAGAGAGACAGTTTAAGGAACAGTTGACCGAGATACCATGGACCTCAGGCAATGTTCGGATACCATTCCTCCTGTTGGCTCTGAAAGTAACATCACTTCTGATCTCACACTTAGGAAGATGCCTTAACAGGTCACAAGTCTGTGCTGCTGGCAGAAAATCACTTCCCTGAGTAAACACAAGCCATGGAATTAGCTGTAGGGAACCAACTTGGCGGTGTCCGATTCTTTTGTTGTTGTTTAATGAAATCATAGGTTAACAGTGAGATGAATCTTTTCTAGACATTCTAAATATACAAGCGCTACTGAAAAGGACACATTTAAAAGGATATATTGTTTTGCTTATTCAAGAAATAATTACGTTACAACAGAGGTAATAATCATTCAACCCACTTTTTTAAATTTAACATTTCTGTTAAAGGTTACCCCTATTAAAATCTTACTTTCTACAAAACTTGCCCCCTGCAAGTGCAATCGTGTCTACATGTTATCTGGTATTTGTAAAAATATTTCTTTAGATTTTTTAAAATCACAATTATTACTTTGAAGTAAGGTCACTGTTTTTGTTAGGGATTTGCTGTATTTCTGGGTTGAATAGTATTAAAATAGTATTTGAGCAAATATGCTCCTTGGTCTGGGGTTGTTGGTGCTGAAACTCACTGTCCCTCCCTTCATAAGCTGTTCCGGATGTCAGGACGCAGGGGTAAGGCTCTCTCTAAGCAATGCAGACTTGTGTGACCCCAGATGCAGCCTGCCTTTCATGCATTAACTCGGGTACCCAATCCACTTTATAGTTATCTTTCTTTCCTATTTACATGTCATAATCAGATCAAAACTTGAATACTAGAGAATCGCCTCTGGAACTCAAAGCACTATTAACAGAACTGACTTTTGAAGACTGATAGGTCCAGGAGAGGCATCTGGTCCGAGCATTCGCACTCTGTAGTCTGACTTCAACTGACATTCTCTCCAGATATCTCAGATGGGAAAAAAAAATCAAACAAGGTAGCAGACAATGCTTCTGAGTGAGGCTCTTGAGAAGATCATAGCGCTGCTCTGTGGCACATGCTTCACTGAATATATGTGAGGCACATCTTGGAACTGGTCTGCAATGAATCATATTCTTTAAAGGCCCAAAGCAGCCACTGATTTCAAAAGTAACAACGCTTGAGAGAAATAGTGAGGGCAGAGAGGATCTGCATGCTTGCGAACTGCAGATACAATGCATTACATGCAATTGCACATACTTTTCAGTAGAGTTTCCAAGGTCCATTTTGGAGGGCAGCAGTCAGAAGTTAATGCTAGTGTTGTTTTCAGAGGTTTTTACAGTCACTGGCTTGGTTTACCATCAGTATGTTTATTGTACTAGGTTGTGTGGTTTCAACATTTAAGAGAATGGATACCACAGCTGACTTTCAGTGACTGAAGACAAACATGAACTGGGAGATGGCATTTACTCTCAATAATTCCTGGACAACAATTGTCCAAAACAAATCAGTGTTTTAGGCTGCGGAGATGGCTCGTTCAGTAAAGTGCTTGCCTTGCAATCCTGAAGACCGGAGTTCAGATCCCCAGAGTCCATAAAATGTCTAGTAGAGTAGTATGTGTCTATAATTTCAGTGATGGTGAGGTGCAAGGAAGCAGCACACAGATCCCTGGAAGCTTGGGAGCTGGCAACTCCGGGCTCTGCAACACAGTTCCAAGCCAACGAGAGACCCTGTCTCAAAGAAAATGAGGAGGGCACCTGAAAACCATGGTAGTCCGCTAAACCTCACATGTGTGCTATGGACACACACACACACACATTATTTTAGATTTCTCAGCCTTGATAGGATTAGATTACAGGTTATCAAATCATATTACATTTAAAATTTGGGAGTAAAACTGTATCAAGTTTTACTCCTGGGAAAACAAAATTGAAACCCTAAGTGATGTTTACTTTTCTAACTATAGAAAAGGTTGTCCCATCCCCCTTTTTTTCACATAGCTTTCTGTTGGAGGAGCTATTTAAAGTAAGCTATGTTTTGGCTTCTAACCCCAGTGTTAAGAGTTTCGGAGCAGAAGCTCTCTGCTCACCATCTGTTATTAGTGTCTATGTTTAACCCATGGCAATCTTAAACTCACAGAGTACACTATCGTCTCAGATGCTTAAGCTTTCTGCAGGAGGCAGAGACTGTTTTCTTTGCTTCAGGAAAAAAAAAATGCTGCTTATTGGCTCATAAAGGAAATGCTAGAGTATTTTTTGATAGTTGCTATTAATTTTCCAATGTTTTTTTTTCTAACTCAGGAAAAAAAATACCATTTTCTGGTTTCTATTTATGGAACTACTTATTGCAGCTCTATTTGGCTTAGTACTATATGATGAATGTGTGGAAAGTTTCAGATTCTAGAATGCTGA